AAGTCTAGACAATGAGAAGATACCCCAAAATCATAATACAAAATTGATTTGTTTTTATTCCTTTGGTTTTGGTTTTGCTTCTTGGCAAGAAGGAAATGGTAAGGACAAGTTGTTAAATATTGTCCAGAATGACTCTGAACACCTAGCTTCAAGCAATTCTCCTGTCTTGGTTTAATGTCTAGCTTAATTTCCTATTCCATTTCTTTTTAAATTTTTTATTATCTTTAAATAGTTGTACAAAGAAGTTCCCATTCTACAAAACAGTATATGAGTACAAAGTGTCTGACAACATTGTCACCCATCACTCCTAACCCACCCCTTCTCTCACTTTTCTTTTCTTTTCTTTTTCTTTTTAACTGAGCTTAGGTGATTACATAAATTTCACATATTTCACAGTATTGTGGAATACTGATACTTAGTGAAAGTCACAAACACATTTTAACCTTCACAAGGCAAATTGTCATTACCATGGTCTGTAAAGTTTGTGAATTCTATGAGCTTTGACAATACAATTATTTCTTCTATATCAGGTGATATTTACATTTCTTTCCTTTTGCTAAGTGTAAACTGGAAAGTTCCCTCTTTTCCTCTTGCTCCTGCCTTCCCATTGCTGTCTTTGGGATGCTTAGTTCATTTTCATCTATGTCAAGTGCAACTGATGGTCCCCTCTGTTGTATGTTTTCCTCTTTCCTGCTGATTCTGTGTCTTCCTCCTAGCTTCCCTCCATTGTGTGCATATATATATACCACATATCTGGTCAAGAACATGGATTTCCTATTCCTTTTCTTTTATCTTTGCTGTTAATTTTAGTGAAATTCTAATATACTTAATTAATCAGTATAATGGATTAATAATAAGTTTTTATGAATAAGGATATTGTAAGTGTAATCTATGTAATTAATTAAAGGACTTAATAACCTGAATTCAGAAAATATTTGATTACTTTCTATGTAAAGGATAGTAAAAGAAGATAAGACCTTGTGTGTAAGTAATATATACTCCAGGAAGGAATATCCAAGTCAAATCAGGTGCCTGTGATAGTGCATGACTTCCAAGAAATAGAAATTTATTTCCACAGTGCTTCCATCTAGGAAGTCCAAGATGTAGACTCTGGCAGATACACTGGCAAATTTTGCTTCCAAGACGGTGTCTGTTTGCTCTGTTCTGGGGAGAAAGGAGCAAATGCATTGTCCTCCATGGCAGGGTTGGAAGGGAAAAGACTCAAAGCTGGTGATAGGTTAATGTCTTCAGATGAGAGAAGAGATGGAAAAGGGAAACAACTCTCTGGGCCTCTTTTATAAGGGCATTGATCCATGACATCATGATCATCTTATAAACATCCCAACCCCTAGCACCATCACCATCAAGGTGATTTTTTTTTTGATCGTGGGGCTTGAACTCTGGACCTGGGCACTGTCCCTCAGCTCTATAGCTCAAGGCAAGCGCTCTATTCCTTGAGCCATAGCACCACTTCCAGTTTTCTGGTGGTTTATTGGAGATAAGAGTCTTAGGGACTTTCCTACCCAGGCTGGCTTTGAACCGTGATTCTCAGATCTCAGCCTCTTGAGTAGCTAGGATTACAGGTGTGAGCCACTGGCCCCTGGCTCAAGATGAATTTTTGAGAAGCAAATACTCAGTCCGTAAGATTATACCTCTAACACCACAAAGGTCATTCTTTGCGCATACAAAATTCATTTATTCTATCCCTATTTTCCCAAAAGTCTTAACTCATTCACCATGATTCATGGTAAACGAGTTCATTCATCATTCACTATGAATCATGACCCATGAACATGTGACTATGTTCACAATTTCACAACTGAATCACATGTGTAGATTCCAGGTATCAATTAACTTAAAGCATACTTCCTTGTAGCTATGAGCCTGTGAAATTAACACAAAACAAAACATATACTTTCTAGATAAAATCTTAGTACAGTCATAGAATAGGCATTCAGGGTCCAAAAGGGAGCATTTAACATAGAGAAAAGGATAATTGTTACCAAATAAGGCCAGACCCTTGGGCTTTGGGAGACATTTAAAAGGGCACACAACTAGACAAGGGAGCTGGCACAGGTCAATGTTCTAAAGAACATTATCTTTGTCCTGTCATGGTGCCCATAAGTGTAGCTACTTGGGATGTGAATATAGGAAGCACATGGTTCAAAACCAGAAGAGGCGATAATTTATTAAAACCCTATCTTAAAAAACACTTCTGTTCTTTGAGTGATTAATTAGAGATCAGTGTCTCACAAGGACTGTCCTGTCTAGGCTGGCTTCAAACCAGGGTCCTCAGATCTCAGCCTCCTGAGCAGCTAGAACTATAGGTGTGAGTCATGGGCACCTGGCTTTGATTGACTTTTGATGACTTCTTCAGATGAAAGTCATGGGAATGATTTATTAAAAGAAATCTATTTAAAGAATACAAAGGATAAAGGGATTATAAAGACAAACTCGGAAATCTTTTTCTTTTACTTGTAAATCAATGCCTCTTGCCAGTAAGAAATAACCAGAGTCTGACTGTCAAAAGGCTGGAATTTTAGGTCTGCTGGAAAGAACAGCCTCCTCCTACCAGAAATCACCTGTAACTGTCAATCACCTGTCGATCACCTGACTGTGAATCAGCAAAAGGACCCCAGGCTCTGGTTCACTTTCTCATCCTCTGAAGTTATTTCCTCTACTGAGTTCTTTCTACATCCACAGCAGCCATACCTCCTCCCCACCTTTCTTTATATAATCTCTCTTATATAATCTGCTAGTCCCCCCCCTGCACACCTACATCTGCCTACATCTGGTGCAGGCTGATGGTTTGGTCCTCCCAATAAACTTTCTTCTCCATGAACCAAGAGTCAGTCTTCCTGCAGCAACCCTTACATCTGGTGCTGCACAGATGTAAGGGTTGCTGAAAGGTGATCACTATGTGGTTCAGGCAGCAAGGGGTTTCTTTGGGAGAGCCAAACTCCTGGGCCATGCTAGAGTAGGGTTTAGCATGTGCACCCCCACTGATGGTGAAGAGATTATATACCAGAGGGCAAGAAGGAGGTGTGGACATTGCATATAAGGACATGACCTCAGAGCTTAGGGGACCTCCCACTGTCCAAAGAGGTGTGACTGGAGTAGATGGCAAAGTGACCTCAGAGCATGAGGAAGTGAACTCAGAGCCTGAGGGAACTCTCACCAGTTACCTGGGTTGTAGTGGCTAGGCAGGGACTTCTAGGGAGTTCCCCAGTACAGTTGTGCAGGGAGAAAGAACAAAGGCCAAAGGGGTCTAAACATGCGCTTTTGCATGGAGAGAAAACAAAGGGAGCATCTTCCCCAGGAAGACCTAATACTAAGAAGTCTTTTTATTTTCCCCAACATAAATATCTTCTAGATTCAATATCATCATTATTATTAATCTAGGATTTATATTCTCTTTTGAACCAGACACTTTGTGCCTGGTTTAAGGAAAATACTTCCTACATATTTTAAGTAAATGAAAGTTACAAATTAATGAGATCAATTTACAAAGCATAAGAAACAGAAGTACAACTTTAAAGTACTTTAAAGAAGACCATGTCAAATAATAGATTTTAAGATAATACTTTAAGAAAATGCTTTTTAACTATATTACTAAAAGAGAAAATAGAAAAACAGTGAATGAAAGATTTTCCCACACTGGTCAACATTTCTATATATGCTTTTAGTCTCCTAAGGAACATGATACTCTTAAGCAAAATGACATGAACATTCCTGAAGTACACTTATCATATATTAGAACAGATCACCCTAAGTTTTAATGATACCAATAGCCCAACCAACATAGGAAAAGAGAAAAGAAAGACATGGTTTTGAAACTCTGTCTGGATTCAAATTTTTTTTTAATTCCATATTAATTAAACAAGAATACTCTAGTTATTTTACACGTTAACTGCCAGAATAGATTAGATAAAATACATTTTGTTTTCATTGGCCAGTAACTCATTTTAAATGAATTTATGTGTTTTTTAGTCCTCTCTTGGAGACTAGAAAGCAGTAACTTTTGTATAGTTAAATTGAAAAAACAGTGTGCCACATCAATTTATGGATCATGGGTACAGAAATTTTTTGTATTGTCTGTTTTACTAACACAGTAACTATGTAAAGCATAGTTTATGTACAAGAGATAGGAGTTTGATCCTCAGCAACATTTAACTGCATTGCTCAGAACTGTATAGCTACAGAAAGCACATGACAGAAATGATAAATTGAAATAATTTTACCTACTATATTTTGGATACTCAAAAAAGTACGCATTAATAAGTGATTTAGTTATTCAAATGCAGGCTCAACTTTCAATCCTAATACTGAAAATTTTTGTTCTTACTTTTTATGCCTAAACAGAACTTTGTCAGAAATATCCAGGAATAAGCCTTCATAGGCAATATAGAGCAATAAAAAGCATAGATTTAAAAGAATAATTTTCAAAATTATGACATTTCTCAGGTTAATTTTGTTTGGATTTTTAAACTCTAACTTTTCCTTCTGTGATTGTCACATTAACTGTAGAGATTTTTAGCTAAGGGCTTTTTAAATCCTATATATTAAGCAATGAAACATATTCTGGTGTTCATACTATCTCATGCTATTTCATTTTGTTTATCTGAGACAGGGGCTAGCTATTCAGCTCTGGGTAGGTACTGGTTAAAAGCCATAAACTCTGTTCTGAAAAGACATGATTATAGAATTTTGCATCAAAACCAAAAGGAAGAGTCTCCTGAGAAGAGAACTTTCCTTCAGTTCTTCAGAGAATTCCATATGTAGCAGCAAAGACTAAGCATCAAATTTTCAATCTGAGTCCAACTAAACTCATAAGCTAGAACACCACAATTCTAAATAGAAAACAGGAAAGTTTACAAGAGTCTAAAAGGTCAGGACAAAGCTTGCAAAAGAAAATGCCCTCAGCAGGGTCACTTATTAGTGCTTGTAACCATGAGGAACAATGTTTGGTTTAGTGATTCACAGTCAAATTTAGTTGAGTGGGAGGAACTAAAATTATCTTGCAAAATCCCCACAGGGTGGAGTTTGAGCAGTTAGTTGAATTTCTCACTTTAAGGCCTGGTCTATAAAGTTACAAGACATTGCTGAATGGCTCACTGAGAAATTCTGGAATCTGAGGACCACATTGGAATCCAAGTAAGTAGGCACTAAAGCTGTGATGTTTACTCAGTACACAAATTAATCATTGTATTTTCTGAATGGAAATGTTATGTGATATAATACAATGTCATATTGTTTTGGATATTGCTTGTTCTTCTTTTCTGATTTTAACTAACCTTATAAAGAAAAATAGAATGGTTGCTCTAAAAGGTGTTTCAATCCTTAAACACAGGTTAATGAAGAGATCACTAGTCACAGAGTGAACAGAAAAGGTTAATTTCAATAGCACACTACAAGTCATCTGTGAAATTTTGTGACATTTGACAAATGAAGGTTAGTTTTACAGTTACTTGACTTTAAATGGTAATATTAGATCAAAATCCAGAAGAGGGAACTGTACCTGCAAATTAAACTTTAAGTTTTCTGTTTTCTGGTAACTCATTGACTTATTAGTCATACAGTTTAGAGAAGTGAAAATTCTACTCTAGAGCACATTTTCTTCCTCTCTTGTAAAGTACTTGCCTAAGAATGGAAAGTTGGTACATTTTTCTCTGTTTTGCAAACAGTTTTATTTTCTTTTTTAAAGGAATAATTAATGTTTTACTAGTTTTAAATAGTTGGAAAAGGAGTTGCCATTTAGCAAGTTCGTTTGAGAATACAATATATCTTAATCAATGTCATCCCTCTCAACATGCTCAGCTAAACTTCCCTTTCCCACTCCTTTCCTCATTCTTCTTAATGCTTCTTAATGTAGACTATACATTGGATTCTTTTTTTTGTTTGTTTTGTTTTTTGTCGATTGTGGGGCCTGAACTCTGGGCCTGAGCACTGTCCCTCAGCTCTTCAGCTCAAGGCTAGTGCTCTATGACTTGAGCCACAGCACCACCTCTGGCTTTTTCTGCTTATGGGTACGGAGGAATTGAACCCAGGGCCTCATGTATGCAAGACAAGAACTCTAACGCTGAGCCACCTTCCTAGCCCTATACTGAATTCTTGACTGCATTCTTCCCCCTTCTCTTCTTTATTTATCCAACCCTTTCCATTTGCTCCAACCTCACCCTTTTCAAGTACCCACTTCCTGGTGTTATATTGCAGAATTTTAACTTTGTGTTTCTAAGAAATTACACTATTTGAATTATCCCTCAAGTCTACTGTATTTTAGTTAATACATGTATATACACTTGCATACACTCTATTTACTTACACATTTATAAGCTAAATCTAGCTTCTATATATAAGGGAAAACATGTACCCTTCGTCTCTCTGAGCCTTACTGACTTCATTTCACCTTTATTCTTTTGTTTTCATTTTGAGGAAGGAGACATAGCATTGAAGCAGATGTGCTGTTCTTTGTAGTATGGAGTAGATGTGAATAAAGTCACTCTATTCTCAATGATTCGTTTTAAAAAAACTTGCTCTGAGAACTTATATCAAAGAAGATTTACTTTCCTTCTGAGAGAAATGTCAGGCTCTAAACTTTGAACTCAGTACAATTTGCTCACTTGCAGGAATAAACGAAACCTTCCTTTGTAAAGATTAACCACTGAGTTCTCATGGTTACTTAAATGCTTAACCTTAAACCAAAGAGTTAGGTGAGACTAAATATTATGATTCTATGCAGAGAAGCAGCTTTAAAGCAGACTAAATGGTTTAGCCATGTAAATAAAATCATGGAAGAAACATTTACAAGATTTCAAAAGCTAAACATGAAGGGCAAAATGGTATTGATTTTGAGAGAATTATGAAAGTATCTTTTGCTTTTTTATAAAAGATTCAGTCAGGCTCCAGAGGCACAAGTCTATAAATCTGAGTCTGAGATCTGAGGATAGTGGTTCAAAGTTAGCCAGTGCAGGAAAGTCCTTGAGACCCTTATCTCCAATTAAACATCAAAAGGCAGGGCAGGAAGTAGAACAATGGGTGAAGTGGTAATGTGCTAGCCATGACCAAAAAAGCAAAGGATAGTACCCATACCCTGAGTTGAGGTGCCAGGACCAGCACCAAAACAACAACAACAAAAATGCACAATGTAAATGGACCTTAAGCATTATCTCCTGAAAAAAGTACAATTTGACTTTATCTTATACAACAATGGCAATGCTTCTTCCCATACACCACATGGTGTGCTTGTCCAACTTGTTAACACTAACTATGTGACATGCAAAATTTGATAGTTTTTACAAACTTATATAAACATATCAACTAATGGGTAAAAAGATTCGAGGCACAAATTATGGCTTATGAAACATTGTTTTGTTGATGTGGTGAATATAGAATTGAGCACAAGTTAGTATGAGTTAATAAATTCAAGGGAAGTGACTGTTATTTTGAGAACTGAAGATCATACTGAAATCTGCTGGAAGTTGAGCATAGTTAGGGTTGGGGAATGGTGTTCTATCTTTGAGAAAGGCTGCTAATTTCAATGATCACATCATACCCCAAGTGTGACAATCCTACCAATGGAGCCAGCCATTTTAAATTTTGCCTGGCTGAGACTGTATTGCAAAGAGTTCTTTCAAAAGAGCAAATGAAGCTAAGCACAGTGGTATACAACTCTAATCTCAACACTCAGGAATTAGAAGCAGGAGGGAAAATCTCATAGCTCAAGATTTAGGACAACTTCAGTTATCTCGTGAGATGTTGTGCCAAGTAAAAAATTAAAAAAAGAAAACTGATTGGAGTGTGTGTGTGTGTGTGTGTGTGTGTGTGTGTGTGTGTGTGTGTGTGTGTGTGTGTGTGTGCAGAGAGAGAGGGAGAACAGAGAGAGACAGAAAAAAAGAATAAGTATAAATTCAAAGGTAGTCTCTGATACTGAGTAGACTGAAAGACTAACCAAAATATACAAAGAAGAGAATTAATTGCAGAAATATCAATTTAAAAATCAGAAAAATATACAAAGAGATAATATGAGGCTCAAGTCTTTGTTGTCTCAAGATTCTGCCTTGTACCAGTTCCCACATTCTGTTTGTGATTCAGCTGCACCTGAATCTACTCTACTATCACCATAACCTACTTTATTTTTGTTTATTTATATTCTGTACATGCCAGGGCTGCAGCTTCAGAGGAGATTACAAAATTTTTACTCTTCTGGATTATTTATATATATAGTTGTTTAAGAAAGGAAGTAGCTAACTTTCTTTTTTTTTGCAGGGGGGAGGTGTTGACAAGTAGGTTGATACATGCCTGTAATCTTGGAACTGGGAGGGCTGAGACAGAAGGATCTAGAGTTCCAGGCCAGCCTTGGCTATACAGAAAGTACCAGTTTTAAGAAAGATCATAATTTTAATGAGAAAGTTTGCTTTTACTCAGAGTAAGTGTTATGGTAATAAACTGTTGTGAATATTCATGAAGCACCACCTAGAATTTAACATCAAATCTATGGAATCTCAAAGTGCTAATTCACCAAAAATGTTCCCAAGTATGAAACAATCTCTTATTTCTGAGTTCAGTGGAAATATTTCTTTAATAATAAGGAATATCTCTCTATGAATAGGTTATTGGTCATGCCAAAAAAATTCACCAAGCTATTTTGTTTATTGCCTTATTCAGCTGTTATTTTTGGGTGACCCTATCTAAAAAAACTTCTCAGCAATAGAGTGGCCATAAAGATGCACTAAATATGGCAGAGCTTCAAGTAGAAAGCAGTTCATTGGAGAAGATCAGCATCTTAGTCAAGCTACTATAAAAATAAAAATAAAAAGCAGGTATACAGTAAGGATATTCCTATACTAATCTCCACTTGGAGCTTTGCACAAAGCTGAATAAAAAGATCTGGTGTCTGTCCACAGCTATTTGTCGATGGCCTGGTAGCTCTGTGATTCTTCCTTGCTTCTGGAATAATGGCTTACAGTTCATGCTTTAACCATCAATGCTTCCCTTCTACTCTGAAAAATGAATCTCTCTTGACAACATTCCTCCTCCACCATTGCTTCTTGCTCTGATTCTTTTAAAATTGCAATCCTGTTTCTAACTGAATGAGTAAATGTATCTCATAGCACAAATTCCTGAAAGAATTTGATTATATGCTCAACTAAACACCATCACCACTGTTTGCTTAGTAGTTTCACAGCAAGTCGTTCACAGACCATGATCAGAGTAGTGGGCTGTCTTTAGGTGTCAAGTATCCAGCAAATCTTAATCAGCTATGACCTGACAGCACAACATGTCAAGTGAGAGAGATAGTTTAGTCAATATTTTTTTCATTGGAAAGCTAAAAGTAGGTACCCATTTAGAATGAAGTATGGCAAACATGTTCATCTTTCTCATTCATGCATACACTTGAATAAATACAGTATTTGGCAGAATATATTCTTTATTATAAAATCTTTGCCCATAAATATTGTTGATATTTAGAAGTTAAAACACTAAATTGAGAAAACACATAACATAGATTTTATGAAAAATGTGGCGTTCAAGCTAGGATTTTGAATGGTGTCTAGCATAGGAATATGTAGAAGGAAAAAAATATGGCATTAGAGAATTCACAGATTTAGAATATTACAAGAAAACTGCAAACAATTTAGTATGATCAGATATTGAAAGACAATCGGCAATGTTAGAATCACTGACTTTGTTATAAAATAATAAATTAAGTCACTCAACTGGTATCAAAACTAAAAGACATTCACAAGTGAAGTTAAGTATCTTTATGGGAAAATATAAAAAAAAGATCAATGGATCAGCATTAGCGACTGAGAAAGGAAATAGCAATCTAGGTAGAAAGTACAAATTACAATACAGAAAAATATTTATGATAATAATTGTTTAAGGTGGAAAAGCAGAAAAGTAATAGAAAAATGTGACTACATTCAAATTCTAAAGCTCTTTCACTCTGGGTGAGTGTTTGACCTAGTTTTTGATTCTAGACTTTAAAAATTGTATGAATTGAAAAATGTCAAACACATTTTGTGATGGAGTTTTACCATAAGTTTCAGACTCAAGTTTCCAATGACTCCCTTGACTTTTCTACTTAGAGATTCAATAGCTATCTGAAATTCAATATGACCCCTAGAGTTCTGTGATTTCCCTCATCAGTTTTTCTTCCCCCAATATTTATTATTTTATCACACTTCACATATATTTTAGACCTAAAAACTAGAAAAAAAAACTCTTACCTGTCCTCACCAGAGACAATTTGTTACAGTTCTACCTGGTTTTCTATAAAGTAGGTCACAAATCCACATTCCTATCTGTGTTCTCTCAGTCAAATTCGATCCATCAGCTCTTTCTCCTCTGAATGAATGTAATAGCCTTACTATGATCATCTTTCTCAATTCTTATAAAGCATACAGATGCAAAGTCATTTTTGATTAATGCAAAATTATACAATATCATTCTCCTACTCAAACTCTACAGTGTTGTGTGGAGAAACAAATGAGTGATGGAGATTTACCTGGGAAGTCAGGGCATTCATTTTCATCACGAGAACTGCATATTCACATAAAAATCACCATTGCTTTCTCATTCAACTTAGGAATGCATGCAGAAGTACTTCATAATGAATTTATGTCTCCCTATCACACTCTATCATCATTCTGCCCACCCCTTTTTATTAGTATATTAGTTGAACTGGCCAATATCTCCTGCTTCTCAGAACATTTGCAGTTGCCGTCACTTTTCCTAAGGTAGGGTTGTCATATGGCTGACTTTATAACATGATTTAAAGATGCCTTTTCTTCCTAATCCATTCTTCTCCAAATGTATACAGAATGAGATTTGCACTTAAATATTATTTTATTCTCAGCGTTTGTATAGCTTTCCAGATAGAACCACAAGATATATTTTAAATGAGATGCATACAGACGAAAAACACAGAACTGTCATAGGTAAAATCAAGTTAGCATTGATGCTCAACTTAAAATTAGTGGAAAATATAGATGAATAAAAATTTGAGTAAAATGTTAGAACATATGCTGAAATATTTATTTTCATTTATCACCTCTAGAAACAGTATACCTTCCATAATACTGGGTCGAACTGAATGAATGCTAAACCCAGGAGAATGTCATTTCAGAATAACAGAGTCCTATCTGTTCTAAGATGGTCTGTGTGACTATGACAATGAAGAAATTGCTTACAGTTACCAGCAACAGAATCTTCTTTGGTATTCATACTGAAAAAGTACCAACCTTTAATGTGAAGTTACCTTCAAGATCATTCACAAGTAAGGCAGGGGAAAAGAAATATAGGTTGCATGGTTTCCCTCATTTTTGGTAGCTAGAATGTGCCTATAACTACAAGTAAACACATTGAATAATTAATATATTAATTTACTGTATATCTGTATATATACATATATATATATATATATATATATATATATATATTCTGGAACATGATAAACTGTATAGGACTCTAGATGGGCACACACTAAGGCCAAGAAATGGATGAGAAAAGCTCAATGGTTATTGCATATGATCATATAAAATAATATTTTATTAAATGAACTCCAGTGAAAGGAAACAAGAGATTTCTTTAGTTGTTATTGCTGTTTTCTTTTCATTTTAGTCTTATTAGTTTATATTTGGGAAGGCAAGGGGGTTACAAAAAAGGTGGAACAAAGGGTCAGCAAATACAACAATGATAATCACTAGAAGTTATGTGGAAAATGATCTGTCCAGCTTGCAGGAGGGACTGGAAGAGGGGAAGAGAAGGGGAGACATGGTTCAAAAAGACTTGTACTCATTACTGATTCATGGAACTATAACTGTTCTGTATATCACTTCTATATTAACAATAAAAATAGAATAAAATAAAAGAAAGGAAAAAAAGTGCATAGTTTGAACTTTGATACAGTAACCATTTGGGCAGAAGAAGCAGATAGAAAATGATGTTTTCTTTCTAATTTTCACAAAAGTATGTTTTACTGTTACCATCAAATAGAGCATCAAGAGGAAAAAGGATGTCTCAAATGTACTTTTTTCCATTTCCCTAGGTAATAAGAATAGAAAGAACTAATATTTCCTGAGAACCTCCAGTAGTCTCAGCAATGTTATCGTACTTAATCCTTTTAATATCCGTTAAGATATGGCTTTTTATTTTTTATGAAAAAAAAAAACTCAGCTGCAGGCTTCAATGCTGGTTGGCTAATTTTCTAAGGCTGGAAATTGACAATTTATTGTTGTTTTCTTGTTTTGTTTTGTTTGGTGGTAGCCCTGAGGCTTGAACTCAGAGCATGTACATTGTACCTAAGATTTTATGCTCAAGTTACTTTGAGTCACAGCTCCATTTACAACTTTCTGCTGGTTTAGTGAAGATAGAATCTTATGACTACCAGTGCTGGCTTTGAACCCTGACACTCAGTTCTCAGCCTCCTAAGTAGCTAGGATTACAGGTGGTAAGCCACTAGTGCCCAGCAGGAATCTAAGATTTATTTTTAGAAGGTACATCAGTCAAAGGACAAGTTTTCTCCAGGGAAGTGATCAAAGTGAGATTGTTTTATTATTTTCTTTCTCTTTTAAAGAACGATTTATGATGGAGCCTTTACCTCCTGAGCTGCCAGCAGACACTGTGCGGCGCATTGCGGCTGAACTAAACTGTCACCCAACAGACCAGAGGGTGGCTCTCCACCTAGATGAGGAAGATAAGCTGAGACATTTCAGGGACTATTTCTATATACCCAAGATGCAAGATCTGCCTCCAAGTAAGAATATGGGGGAAGGTTTCTAAAAAATCAATTAATTAATTTACTTTTGCTATACTACATGTTTATCATAAATCTCTGAGAAATCATTGTTCCATTGTATAATAAAGCCATTACAATTGTGTCTGAAAAATAGCAGGTCCCTGGTGCTATTAAATCAACCTGTCCTCCTACCTTAGCTTCATATTCTTTATGTTTCTTATCCTCCTTGGAATAAAATACTTACAGAGTGTTTATGCTGTCATCTACATTCTCTGAACAATACAGTGACTGACTGATAATTATAGGCAGAGGTATTCATGTGTGCTCTCAGCACTTAGAGCTCGAAACAATTCTTTTCAATGTGGTATTAGAGTATCTCTTATTTTTTGTGGCACCTAGTTGATAGCAGTAAGATATTTGTCTGAACTGGAATATGTTCTGTAACTTGGATAGATAAGGAGTGATGTTATATGAATAGCCATCATTGTTTGCTTGCTATAAGTATACACTGAGATGGTAAGAGTTACCTAAAAAATACATTCTACGTTTCTGAGCAGTCTACAGTAAACTAACTGTTTCTGCTCTGGAGGAGATTGTATTTAAAAAAAAAACTTTATGAAAAATGTGAAGAATGTCATATTTAACTTTTTTTTCCTTTTTACATCAATGAAAAATACTACAGGGTGAGTGGAATTAATCCACTAAAGTTACTTCACATACTTTAGAAGAGTCTGCCTACATGCTAAGGTTTATGTGTTTAGCAACTAGTGTTCGTTTTGGTTTACTTGACATACTTTCCTAAGTAATTTTGTCACATCTATGAGTTTATATTTAGAGTAAGGAGACACCTAACAAATTAAAAGAACTTAATCATGCCCACTAGGAAGTATTTCTCTTAGTGTTGGTGTTAGCATTGTGAGCTACATTTTCTCCAAGGTAGTGTGAGATGGAAGTGTTGATAAGGTGAGATCTAAGTAGAGATAAGATTGTGGTGAGAAAGTGTGCCCAGCAGACTCAGTGTGAAGCACGGCCTGGTGCTTGCTGAAGTTTGTTCTATACAAATGCAATGGTATCATCCTTGGGAGTAAATAACCCTAGTGTGTCTTTAGTATAGGTATGTATATGTGCATGTGCATGTGCATGTGTATATGCATGTCTGTGTATGTGTTTGTATTTGCAAGGTAGAAAAGTTTCAAATGAATCCGCATTTCCTGCCCTATGAAAATCTTCCAAAAGCATATAGTAGTTACATAGAATCTCAACTAATTTTAATATGCTAACACAATACTTAAATGAAGTACTCCAGTGTAATCTTGAACTATATGAAATAGAACCTAATAAGTTTTGGGGAAATGAGAGCAATAAGACATGGAACCTTAGATTTAATTTTTAAATATTCTTTAAGAATTATTGCAGGCATTCCCACCTATGATTTTTCTGATATCTTGCCATTAAATATACATTTTCCATACTTTCAATAGAATTCATTTAATAAATTTTCTTCTGTTGTTAGGTTCTTACAAGTTTTATTTTGGAAGGGCCTAAAATATTTTTATCTACTAGCTACTCAAGAGACTGAAGTCTGAGGTCCACAGTTTAAAGTTATTGAAGGCAAGAAAGTCCATGAGACTCTTCCTCCAATTGACCAGAAAAAAGCCAGAAGTGACTCACATAGTAGAGCACTAGCATCACACACACACACACACACACACACACACACACACACATACACACACACACAAAGATTTTTCTTTACTAAAATTCATGAAGTACTTAATGTTCATCATTTTTCTAAAGATCATAGCCACAGTCAAAAAATAAGAGAGAAAGGAAGAAGGGAGAGAAGGAAGAAGGAGGAAATGAAGGAGGGAGGGAGGAAGAGAAAAAAAGGTGGAGTGAAGGAAGAAAATAGACTAGAAGCAGGAAGAGATGGAAGAGGAAAGAGAGAAGGTACAAATGGTAAAGTATATAACATAATAAACAGTAAACAAATGCCTATGTAAAACCTGGCAATAAGGTTGAAGAAGTAAATAGTAAATGTAAGCGAAGTGAGAAAAGAAAGGATTCAATATAATTTTTAATTTTCTCAGGAGGGTTGCACCACTCCCTCTCATTAATAAAAAAAGAAATTCAATTTCCCATTAAATAATTCTGGTTTAATATCAGGAGAAACAGCATGAGCCAAGATTTATGGCTCATCTGAATAGTGGTGCTATCTTGTCATTATTATATTGTTTAGAGTAACTCTTCATCTAATAGAGAACTTAGGAAGGTAGGTGTGTTGATGCATGTTAACAGCCTAGCATTCAAGAAGCTGAGACTCTCTAGTGAGACATTCTTTAAAACATTAAAAATGAATAAAAAGTTTAAAAAGTAAAATAAAAACAACATTTTCTTTCTATCTTTTATTGTTTTGGAATCTGTGGCCTTTGGTTCAGAATCCAAAGGGTCAGTGGTGTTTTAAGCTGTAGGAAAATACAGATCCAAAAAGGAAAGACAAATATTGTCTGTATGTCATTCTGTGTGGAAGGTTTCAGATCTTGCCCTCAGACATGTCCCTTACATGGACAGAGTTTGAACTTGGCCCTTCCTACTTGTAAAATAGACTGAAAACAAGTTATCACTTAACTCTTGTAACCAAATGAAAACCTGACAAGTCTGTTGTGACAAAGGAAAGACAGAATGGACCTTAGGACATAGAAAGTAGTTGCATTTACTTTGCAGATATAAATATAAAGTCTTCAGCATTTAGGTAACAGCTGAAAATACAGATACGAACATCATCCAAGAATTGTAGCTTATAATGAAAGAGTTAGTGAAAATAAAATTTTCATCACTGGCAAGAAAGATAAATTATACTAAGAGGATACAAAGAAGAAATAGTGTTTTTTTATTTTTTAATTTCATTTTATTGTAAAGATGGCCAATAGACACATGAAGAAATGCTCGAGTTCTCTAGCTATAAAAGAAAAGCAAATCAAAACAACACTGAAATTCTACCTCATCCCAGTTAGAATGACTATAATCAAGAAATCTAATAACAACAGATGCTGGAGGGGATGTGGTCAAAAAGGAACTTTACTGCATTATTGGTGGGAGTATAAACTTGGAAAGCAGTATGTAGGTTCCTCAAAAGACTACACATAGAGCTCTCCTATGACCCAGCAATCCCACTCCTGGGCATTTACCTCAATGACCACAAACAAAGCTGCACTAAAGCTACCAGCACAACTATGTTTATTGCAGCATTATTCACCATAGGTAAGATATGGAGCCAATCGAGATGCCCCTCAGTAGATGAATGGATCAAGAAAATGTCATATATATATATATATATGAATTCTATGCTTCCATCAGAAGGAATGGCACCGCCTTATTTATTAGAAAATAGAAAGACTTAGAAAAAAATCGTATTAAGTGAAGTAAGCCAGAACCAAAGAAATATAGACCCTATGGTTTCCCTTATTTGCAATAATTAGTGTGCATCTAGGCTAATCTTATCAGATGACCAGAAAAGCTCAAAAGCTGTGTACATATGACCATATAAGATGATGCAAAGCAAAATGAACCCCAAGATAAGGACACAGAGGTTTTTCTTTGTTGTTTTTTTCAAAGTTCTATGTGATTTTTTTTTGTTTCTTTAGTATGTTCTTCCCCCTATGGCATAACCCCTGTTCTCACTGTATTTGATTTTTAGTACCCTGTGCCTTGTGTATACATTTATCTAATTTGTGGAGGGGAAGGGGAATAATGAAATGCTTAAAGAAAGACACAGGGCCACCCATTACAACAATGAGACTCACAAGACACTATGTGGATAATGTACTTTAAAATCTCAGTGTGGGGTGAGGAGTGGGAAAGGCGGGGAAGAAAGGGGTAGCAGGAGAAAAACAAAGGAGGGATAGCAATGCTCACCAAAAATGTACTCATTACCTTACTCATGTAACTGTAACCCCTCTGTACAGCAACGTAGTGTTTTAAAACCAAAATGTAGACAGGCATTCAGTTATTGCAGGCCTTGTAAGTTATTCAATAGTCTTAACTTTAATTACTTCACTAGAATTATGGGGAGTGGGGGAGTTTCTAATTTTTCTAGGAATATTTTGGACAGAGTGAAAAATAGGGAGTGAAATATTAGGAACTGAAATTAGTTTGCCAATATCCATTTCTACATGAAAGAAAGAAAATAAGGACAAAAGATGTTTATGGATGTCTTGATAAATATTGCAGAAAGGAGTAAGGAGAAGAGGAGAGATGGAAACAGAGACAGAGAATAAGAGAGAGAGAGAGAAAGAGAGAGAGAGAGGGAGGGAGGGAGGGACAGAGGGAAAGAGGGAAAGAGGGAGGGAGAAATTAGACAGAGACAAACAGAAACAAAGATAGAATGATGATTTTCAACCAAAACATCTATACTGGTTTTGTTATCTGCCTTGATATTTTTCATTTCAGCCCCCAAAATCTAAAATCCTAAAATGACATGTAAATTGTTGAAGATAGTTTTGGCTAATCTCAAAGCCTCAAAAGTTGTATTGACTTCAATAGCCAAAATCAATATAATTCAGATTGACAGTTCTAAACAAACAAACAAACAAACTAAACAATGGCACCAACTCCCTTGCAGTCTTTCCATCCTTCTAGCAATATGTTATCATGTCTACCTTAGCCATGTGTAAAGGACTAGATATATAAATATTGTCACTTTCCACTTGTGCAAAATCTGTCCTACACAAGGTTGTGAATTTTCCTAAGAATATGTTATTTTAAAAAAGATGGTGTGTCCACCCCTGAAGATTTACCTAAAAGATTACAAACAGGGATACAGTAAAGCCACTAGCACAACCATATTACAGCACTATTCACCATAGCCAAGGTATGAAATCAGCCCAGATGCTCCTCAATGGACAAATGATATATACATATGCAATGAAATTTTACTCATCCATGAAAAAAAATAATATTGTACCATTTGCAAAGGACTAGAAATTCTTTAAAAAGAAAAGAAAAATAATATACTAAGT